TAACCACACTCTTGAGACATAAAACTCAGCGCTGACTTCTGGCCCTATGACACCTCCCTCCTACCCACTACAGGAGCCAGCACCCCTCTAGAGCACCCCACAGGTCATGCTCTGAAGATCATGCTCTGCTTGCTCCATAGCACTGCAATATGAGATTATGGTTAAATTTGACACTGTGGGAATTTTTAATCAGATGGTGTATACAAACTCAAAGAGACAAATTACCCATATTAGTTTTTATTTAAAATATAATTGAATATGTGAATAGAAAATTAGTGTAATGTATTGATACCATCTGGTGCTCCAATTTTACACGTTTTTTTATCTTTCTTAATTTAAACAAAATCGAATCTTCCTCCTACATATGATTTTATTAATTACTCTGTTTTCACTTAGATACCATTGTGTTGACCATAAGCCTAAAGGAATCTAATAATTTGTAAATAATAGAACAGGTGTGATGCTTTCAGTAAGCCAATTATTTTTTTAGTTGCACAAATCCTGAGATTCAACAGTTCATCTGCATATGAACACTGAATAGTTTTCAATATAACATTCTATCCCCAGAGACATATTTAAATACATTTAGATTAATGCATTCCTTCTGTATCTATTTATTAATCACCTACTATGTTCTGGGCACTGACTGGGGACTGAGGATAGAAAGAGATGTAAGACATAGTGCTAGCATTTCAAGCTGGTAAAAGATCCAACAGATAATAGCAATATGATTCAATAAGACACAGTTACAATGCTCTGGGGGCACAGAGGAAAGAGTCTCTGAGCTGGTAGAGGGAAAGGAAACGTGCAAAGAGCAGCAGCCAGAGAATGAGCAAGGAGGCAGCAGGAGAAGACACACAGCACAATCTCATGTCTAGCTCACTTTAGCTGTAAGTTTGCATATGACTTTGTAGTTTATGGAGTACATTCTGAGATCTACACACACACACACACACACACACACACACACACTGTGGACAGGAGAAGTGTCAGATTGTTTTTAAGGACAAAATAAGCACAGAGCAGAAGAGAAACAAAAGACAGATGGGACCGGCATTTGGGGAGTTCATGACAGAAAGCAGGGAAGTAGAACGCGGTTGACTTGACTAATCTAAGATCTGAACTTATGGGTGTTTTTTTGTTCTTTGCACAATCTGTATTTTATCATTTTTCTATTTTTTTTTTTGAGTTTCAAGTTTTTATTCAGCATCCTTTGCCTGTATTTCCATTTCATGAAAGGACTTACGACATTTTATCTGCTTCTTATGGTGTTTGGCATGCTTCCATATTTCTAAAACAAAGACAATCTTACACAACTATTGATTTTTGTGGTGTAGGCAATATGCAATAAATCTTGTATCTGATTCAGTCAGTAGGATTTATTTTCTAATATCTTTCCTATTTTCTCTTTTTCTTTACATTTTAATGTAATGTATGTTGATATTAATAAGGAAAATACAAAGAAACGGTCTTTTATTTCTATGAAAAAGTGAAACAGAATTTCATAACAAAGTCAATAGAGGACAATAATCGTTAATATGCTATGTACCATAGTGTAAAATGTGCTATGTACCATAGTGTAAAATGTGCTATGTACCATAGTGTAAAATGAATTCCTCACATGTTACTCTAGTATAAGTTATAGACAAAAACCCCCTCTCTCTTACAAAAAAGAAGCAGGTAATGGCATGAGCTTTCTCTTCAAAAAAAACTTTCTTTTGCATGAACCAGGAGAAACTTGTAGTATAAATACAACAAATTAACATATATATTGAAATACTTTTGAAAGAAGGTGGAATTATTTGAACTTTTTGCTACTTCCTATTTCTTTCTGTTCTGTTTAGTTCTTTACTGACATATGTGTACATGTTTAGTTTCTCTTATACGTAAGCTTGTGTTGCTGTGGTGAGATATTTTTAAAGGGCATGTTTGTAAGATGGCGAAAGGCCACGGAAATGGCCTGGAAGAAGAGAGGTGGGTGCATGCATTGGAGCCCAGCACTAGGTAGGGCTCACATTGGAAGGAAGTGCCGTGAAGTCAGAACCAAGTCAACTGACAGAGCTAGAGTGTGAATAGTAGATCAGATAGTAATACTGTGCCCTATGAAGTTTATAAAGATGATACCTGCTGTAGTTATGCAAGAAAATATCCTTATTTGTAGGAAATACAGGTTGGGGTGTTTAGGTATTGAGGATCATTATATATGATTTCTCTGTCTGCATCTATATATCTGTCTGTCTCTCTGTTCATTGAGCGAGCTAGCTGAGTGCAAATGATAAATGATGAAATAAACAGGATAAAGTGTTTAAAAATAGGTTAATCTGAGCAAAGGGTATATGTGTGCAATCTGCATTATTTTTATTTTGCAACTACTAATTGTAAAATTATTTTCAAATGAAATTTTCCAAAAAGCATTTCTATACATTATTTTCTCACTTTACAAGCACCAAGAAATAATGTTCTTATTATTCCTGTTACGCCCATGAGAAATTAAAATGAAACACTCAGAGCCATGTAGCTACTAAGTGAAAGTCTCAGAACCAGAATTCAGATCATTATTGTGCATAGCTTATCAGTAACTCATCAATCTACCTAGGAACCCATATCGTGCATTTTAGAAAGGTATTCGTGAAAATTTTTTTAACACTTTTGCACTAGCTAAATACAGCATGCCTCCCTTTGAACATGTATGACTTAAGGGTCATCTGTCCTCTCCTATGTCTGCCATTATTGGATGTCCTGCCCACAAGATGATTTACCCTCTCCTCTCAAAGTCCTCATTATTATCTATGGAACTTCCAGCCAGGAGAGACAAACTCTAGAATTCTAGAGCTTTCTTCTCCCTTCACATTCTTCTGACCATGTAGTCTTAACAGAAATCTGTCTCAGCCATTTTGACACAGGTTCCCAGCATCTTTCCCACACAACAGACCCCAGGCTCAAGTTTTCAGTCTGAGTAGTCTTTGCTCTCTGGTGCTAGACTCATACCCTACCTTCTTTACTTTGAGCTAAAATCTCTGTTCATCTAGGACTTGCTGAGTTTGCCTAAATGATTTGATGCCTTTCCACATTATCTCCACCATAACCCATCCCTTGCATTCATTTTCAAGAGAGTTGGGCATACGGTTTAGTATATTCCTCTTCCACCTAATTTCTACCATCATTATGTGTGACATTAGGTTTATTCAGCTTCCCACACATGTCACATCCAAAGCTCTGGATTTTTCCTTGATCATCTTATCTCTAATGACAGCATATCTTCACTGCACTTCCCCCACCCATCCCTGAGCTATTGCCCAGACTTTCTCATTTTGTAGAATCACATTATTGGCAGGGATATTGGTAGTAAACACCCAACATTAAATCAGGCCTATCATGGTAGATGGAGGATCACTGGAAGAAGCCCTGTTAGTGTTAAGGATGTCAGGGGAAATCCAGACTTCTGAGACAGAAAAGAGCCAGGGGACAAGAGAGTCTATACAACTGAGAAGGAACATGGCTTCATCATTTGTGCTGGGTTCCAATTCATAGACCACTGGACTGCACCTGGCACTGTTGTCCCAAGAGGCCCATCATCATGCCAATGGGCTTTTGGCTGTGTCACTGCATCTGTTATGAGTAATCACGTACTGTGATTTCTTTCTGGCCACATTCTTTTAAGATTAAGGATCTTGGGTGAGAGATGATGGCAGTCCTAGCATAGCTCACATGTGTATTGCTTCTCACCATTAGACAGCTGAGAGGAGGACCATCTCCCTCATTTCAGTTTCCTCAGTGGTAGGAGAATGTGTCTGTGTCTAATAGGATTACCTTTCATGGGAAGGGTTTTGAATGCTGGGAATATAACTTTGGTGAAGTCCTCTATGGCCCCTTGTACTGGGCAAGCCAGCATCCTTATCTACTCTTTTTATAATCACCTTTTAAAATAAAAATTCTCACCCAGTCACTGCAACTCACTTTGGGTGCTAAAATTGTATTCACACTCCCAACTTCACATGAAATCCAACTAAAGGGGTACCACAAATCTTTCAGCTAACACACGTACCTCAGGGCCCAGGATTTCTGGAAAAGTCCATTTCTGTCCTGATTCTTTCTTGATCCAATCTCAATATTTTGAACGTTTTGAATCAATACAACCTTCATAAAAATAAATATTGAGAAAACTCTTATATTGTGACTGGTACCAAGACTATAGCTAGTGTATAGTGCTCTATACTTTACTTGTTCCACAGGCTTTCAGCAAGCTCTCACAGTGATCATGGATTTTGCCTAGGGAGGTGACTCAAATCTTCCTTTCTGAAGGATATGATCCCTTGGTGGCTCTATCCTTTAGCATCTTGTGTTCACCTTGGCTGAACTAAGAGGTACCCAGGGGAACACCTGTGTTCCATTATAATTCTCCCTACTCCGTATTTAGTTCATCATTATTTTCCCTTGGTAACATTAAATGCTCCAGCCAACAATCTAGTACTTTTTTTGACGGTTGCTTGAATAACATGAGGACCTCAAAGTGGCCAGATGGCATTCTTAGCTTCTAACTCCATGGACTCACTATTGTATTCATATGGGGAGGCAACTCTCTAACTAGGTTCTAAAACTTCTAAACTAATACAGTATGAAGTTTGTAGGAAGAAAAGCAGAAATTTTATTAGTGAATCATTAAGTTTAATTGTGTGAGATGCATGTCAGTTCTAACTCTTAATGGACCTTGTAATATGACTATGAGATTCACTAAATGAGATGTTAAGTGGTATATAGAAACTGATCCTGATCATATCCTCTGTTCAGCAAGATTGTATCCCTTCCAGGGTAAGTACTGTCTGTCAGTTGGCCCAGAGGGTCCAATGTTTCAAAATACACACACACACACACACACACACACACACACACACACACATGCACACAAACTATGATATATATGACATGTGCATATCATTAGAAAAGTGTGCTGGTAAAGACAGCAAGTTCTAAATCAGAATTTGATGTTTCTGGAAAAGAATGGATGTCTCTTCATAATGGAATGCAGATGATACCAACCTATGATACCAGCCACCTGCTGGGTACCTAGATGGTCCCCCAAGGTACCATGCCAAACACAGGGTTGGTTGCTCCAGTTGGAAAGTTGGTCACTCAGCAATGGGTAACCAGATAAGCTTTGGCAAAGGGAAACCCAGATCTCTGGGCACTTGCATGGTCTCCATTCTTGCCACTAGCTATCTGCCCCTTGGTGGGCATTTGGAGGTTGAGAGAAGAAAGCTGATATTCCCAGACTGGGAAGTTTTCCTTCTGATTATCAAGAGATTACTCTGTGGTAGAAGTGGTTTGATGGGTTTTTGTAAAAGATAGATATTCTTACGTCCTGGAGCTATTCCAAAATCTCCGCATATGTCTTTTACAACAGTTTTTGTCTCCAGTACATTTGTACTGTTTCTTCCAACTCCCTGATTATGTGGTCAAAATACTAGCCACTACCTATGACTCAGAGTAAATTCTCAAATCAAGCTATCTCTCCTTCTAAATAATAAGGCAAGGACATAGGCTGCTATATCTTGTTCACTGAATGAATTTGCTTTCTTTGTTTTCTTTCAAGCCCACCCCTGAGTAAGTTCTAATTGTGCATTAACTTTGGCAACTTCCAGATCATGCAGAGTCATTCAAAAACAGATTTGAATTTGTTTCCCCATTTTTCAGCTGGTATGGGAAGCAGTCTGTGCAGGAGGGGCAGCCCTTATGCTAATACCTTGTTCCCCTGTTTGCACATTCCTGTGCCTATGTTTTGTATCCCTGTCTATATTTAAATCTTGAATAAATTCACAAATTATTCAGAATGTTACAAAGGTTGAGAATTTTTCTATCATCCCAACCACTCTATTCTCAGTACCTATCACAATGCTTGGATTACAAGATATAAAAATATAAAGTATCCACTTAAATTTTAATTTCAGACAAGGAATAAATAGTGGTAGTATAAATATATCCTGTGCGATATTTGTGACCTATTTATACCAAAAACATTACTGTTCATCTGATATTCAAATTTAACTGGGCATCCTGTATTATTATATCAGACAACTGTAGTAGTTGGTTTTCAATAAGCATTTGCTGCATTCATAAGTACATGATTTGTTAAATTATGGGTTTTACTTAGTGTCTATTCTATCCTTATAAATTCTATAATACTATAATACTACAATACTATGATAGTTTGAAGTACTAATCTCTTTTCTCTGTGGCTACTAGAGATTGCTACCTTTGCCCCAATGGGAAGCTGTCCTAGAAGATTCAGAGAATTTAAAATGCCAATGTTCAGCTATAAGGTGGGAAAGTTGGAAAAGAATAGCTGCTTTTCTCTCTTGTTCAGTAGATACAAGCAAGGTGGAAGAGACTGAGCTAGTGACTTACTTTTGAAATGGTGGCAGTGATGTTCTCAATTGGTAGAAAACTGGGTAAGAGAAGCACTGGAATTCTCAGAATACAGGATTGGAGAATAGAAAAAACCTCTGAGCTGTTTTCTGTCTTATTCCCAGGAAGCTACATCAGTCAGCTATTACTGCATAACAAATAACTACAAAAATCTTTTGGCATGTAACATTAGGCATTTACTTTTGCTCATGGCTTTCAGGTTGGTTTTAAACTTTGGATCTCCTCCATGTAGCCCATTTAGGTACCCAGGCTGGAGTGGGGAGTGACTCTGGGAGAGGTAGTAAACTTCCAGAATGATGATCAGAGAGCACAGTGAGACTCAGGGTTCAGACACCGCAACTTATCACTTCTGCTAATGTTCTATTGCCCAAAATAAGCTTAGGGCCATGCTCAACACCAGTGAGGCCAGGAGACAATTTCTTCCTAAAGAGGAGAAAGGGTAAAAATATCTTCTGATTACAAATTGACTCTCCCCCTAGACAGTAAATAATTCCATAAGTCATTGAAGCTGAGGAGCTCAGAACAGCCTCACTGAGCCCTTGAATGCTTTTCTTGAAGAAAGGGGATAGAAAACATTTTCTCCTGTGGCCTAGAATAGCCCACAGATCATGTAGCATGATGCCTGAAATAGTGTAAGTGCTCGTAAATATCTGCACTGTTTGGCAGCTGTGCCTTAAGCTGTGGTTTTATCTGGACAATACAAACTAGACAGGAGTCACTATTTATTGAAGATTCAGAATGTGCCATTTCTATCTCTGTTAGTTCTCCTAGTCGTCCTATAAAATAGAGATTATCATTCTTGGTTTGCATATAAAAGATCCAGGCAGCAAAAGTTGAGCAATTAGTCCAGGATCCTTGGTAAGAGTCAGGAGCTGGGGTCAGAAGTCCCGTGGGTCTGGTGTGAAGCCTCAGCCTCCCCACTGCTCTGCACCACGCACCTTGGAGTATGGACCCAGATCTCCTCACTTTGATGGCTCTTCTCCTCTGTCTCCCGCCTGGGGCTGTGGAGGGCTCTCAGAAGTCAGCTTCCAGCCACAGCTCTGTAAAAACGAGAGGAAAGCTTTCTGGGGTGAATTAAGTAGCTTTCACAATAGGAGCTTGGTAAAAGACTTGCAGCCAAGACTCTCTGCATCCCTTCCACCAGGGGGCTTGCCTGTACCCATCCAGACCCAGATCCTTAGGGCTCAAAGATTGGGCTGCCCTTGGCAGTGCATGGGAGTAGGAGAGAAAGCGGGTAGGGGGAAGCTCCGGCAGCAACTCTGAAATTTGACTGTCTCCAGTAACACTCTATTTATTGGGCTCTTGGCTTTGTGCATAGCCTTGTCAGCTCGTGCTGAGCCAGTAGGGTGGATATTTAATTCATGTCGTCATGATGTTATGGAAATGAGAGGCTGGGAAGCTAGCCAGTCTGTGCAGCCCTTCTCCGTACTGGTTCCTCCACAAGGAGCCCCACTGCCAGGCCCAGCAAACAGCAAAACCTGCTCCTGGAAGAGGACCTCTCCCACCCGGAACAGCAATAGTGTAGCACTGGAACTTACAAACAGTATACAGGAATAGAGAGGATGCAACCTCTGCTTTATTTAGTACATCATCTTCCACAGGCTCATAGGAATGGTTTAAAGTTTAGTTGTTACATCAGCAGATTACATCATGGACTAAACACTGCTTTTAAGGGAGTGACATACACGAGGGATAGCGGTAAGTGGAGAACCAAAGTTCCCATAGTTTGCTGGGATTGCAGCCCGATCACCGAGGATGAGCTTCCAAGGAATCTGGGCCACATCAGGTCACCAAGACCAATGTACAAAGGCCCTTCTCTCTTCCTGAGCCCAAATCACAAATATGGGAAAATGATGGTGCTCTGGCAGAGACCTCACCACACACCAGACGGGTGACTGAGCATAGTTGCCCAGAAGGAGACAGGGAGCTGGGGAGGGGTGCCAGGCTGCCAGGCTGCTCTAGCCAACTACTGTAGCTGGATGAACATCAGAGGAACAGAAAAGTTTCCACTGGGGCTGGGGATTTAGCTCAGCGGCATAAGCGCCTGCCTGGCAAGTGAAAGGTTGTGAGTTCGGTTCCGGTACCGGAGAAAAACCAAAAAAAAAAAGAAAAGTTCCCACCCCCAGGGACTGAGAGTGGTACATAGAAACCCATAGAGAATACATTTTATCACCTGCAAAATGGACACATTATTTCAATTCTAAAGCATGGTTATTCACAGTTACACTCATCATTCAGTGTCCACAGGGGATTGGGTCAGTGCCACCATGGATATCAAAATCCAGCGAGGCCCAAGTCCCTTATATAAAACTCACTGTATTTGCATAAAACCTATGCAATCCTCCCATATACTTTAAATCATCTCCAGATGACTACAACACCCAATACCAAGTAAATGATGTCCAAGTAATTGCTGTGCTGTATTGTTTAGAGAATAATGACCAAAAGTCTGTACAGATGCTCAGTACAAATGTAATTTTAAAAATATATTTTGGTGAAATCTTCAGATACAGGGTCCACAGATGCAAAGAGTCTACTGTATTTACAGATTCAGACGTGGACTATTTACTGGTTCACTTCAGATTCCATAGCGGTAGCTTCAGCCTTATTGTTCTCCATTCACTTACCCACAGTGTGTACATTTTTCTTACTGTGTCCTTTCTGAGCAGTATGATTAGTTTTTGTACCATGTCAGACAGCAATAATGTATCCCAGTATCTCATCTGGTTACAAATTCAGATAGTTAGCATGTTTCATCTGCTCAGTGTCTGACTGAAACCTGGCCAATGCATCTCTTTCTACTCTTTTATTTACCACAGGGAGAAAGTCTCAGCAGTACTGTGAACTTAGCTTACCCTATTTATTGTGAACAGAAACAAGTAAATAAAGTAGCAAATTTGGAACTAAACCACTAGTCATAAAATCACAGTGATTGCCTCTGGACATCCTGTGTTTAGACATATTGACATTTTGTATAAACCCTAGCTGATTCATCTCTTAAGTGAAATTACAAATAAATACCATACTTACCAAGCTTAAAATATACAACTGCCTTCAGTCATTCAACACTGGATAAAACACTGAACAGTGAGCGTTCCTTGGGAGAAAATTAACTGCTCTTGAAAAGAAGAAAAATAGACGTAAGCCCTTCTGTACACGTTCTGCAATCCTTTGGCTCAACGGTATTAATGCTTTTAATTTCACGTTGAGCAGCAGGGGAAACAAGAGCAATTAGCAATCCATTTTTCATGTTCTCAGTCTTTGAGGTTCAGCAGAAGGCCAAGCAATTGAGGGGTGTTATTCTGATTTCAGAAACACAATTCCGCAAAGAATAGCACTTGAGCAAAAGCTGGGCAGCACTCTATTCTTGAGGCTTTTTATTCCCTGAAGTTTTAATAGATGGAAAATGCATGGGTCGCAGCATAAGATGCTGAAAGGCATAAAGCGTTCATTTACCTTCCAGTGGTTAGCTTGGTCACATCCTCCTGAGCAGGCAGAACCCAGGTGACCAAGGCCAATCTCCTTGTGCACCTAGTGCTGCGTTTGAAAGGTAGGTTCAGTGACTCGCATTTTTTTAGGCAGGACAGGAATGGATACCGGACGCATGCCTGCTTTGCCAGTTCTCATGGGTCACCTAAGGGAATCATCTTCATTTCCTGGCTCCCGGTTTCCTTAATTATAAATGAAAGGCCTGGACTCCTTACTCTCTGTGTGTTTCAAGGTCTATTCTGCAACTCTGGAAGTGACTATTCCAGTTGCCCACTTGTTCATTCTTTGATGATGAAAAAAATCATGTTTACAATGTTTAACTCCTACATGTGATTTGAGAAAGATATAAATCAGTTACTCTCAAACCTGGCTGTGCATAGAATCACCTGGGATATATCTTATTCTAGTACTTATATACAATCAGGTATATACAAAAAAGTGCACCAATTACAGAGTGTTTACTAAACAGACACACCCATGGAACTAGTCAGGCTGAGAAATAGCACCTTGCCACCTCCTATAGAGCTTCCCAAAGCCCAGATGCCCAGGTCCTCTCTAGGGTATAAACTGGACATTGTCCCTTCTACAGGCTGACTGGGGGGTCTGATCCAGCCAGGCTAATATTGTCAGTTAGAATCCTCTGTGACAATCCTCTGTAGCAATCTTTTGCCATTCCAATAAACATGAAGATTCTGATCCCCACACAGAGAAGGTCTGGGGCAAGCGTTAGATGTATTAGCAGGAGGCTGAGGAGAAGGGAATAACTGCCCTACAGGGAAATGCATCATCTCCAGCCCTAATTGTGTGCTGTGCACATTATGTGCATTAGTTGTCACCAGCACATGGCCCCTAAGGTGGTGGTATCATGATGTTACCTCGCAGATGAGGGCCCTGCTGCTCAGAAGGGTTGAAGTGGGTGCCTGACCACACAGCCGGGGGTATCTGTGTTGAGTTCAAAACTCAAATCATCCTGATACACAAGGCCACAGTCTTTCCATCTCTCTTGTCACACAAATGATCAGTATCAACACAACCCACAAAACTGCTGCACACATATTGGGCATCCAATAGCTGACACTGGTATCAGCTCACACCACTGGAAGTGCCTCAATTCTAGCATCAGTCAATTCTGACAGCACTGTAGAGGTTCTAGAAAAAAAAAAACTTCACTAGTGCTTTTGGGAATGGGGAATGATAGAGAATCAGACAGTACCATTTCCCCATAGATAGAATTTGTAGCCTAATACTTTTATTGTAGAAATATAGTTTGAGTCAGACATAAATACAAGAGGCTGTGTATCTTCTTTTATCTACTTAGAATTTTTGTTATGGTAGATTTTGTCAGACAAAAATACTAGTTAACTTCTAGGATTTAAATTGTCACAAAAGTCCCCTCTCCCATGTGTTTAATTTTGTGGTTAATTATAAGAACCAGTAGAATCAACATTCTATAAAGCTGTTCTGAGAAATCCATAGTAGACTCTACTATACCTTTTCTTGTTTTATTTTATTTATCCCTTTAGTTTATTTATTCATTTAGCTTTCATATTTTGGGGATAGAAGGTGTTAGTGTCTCCTATCTTGTGTGAATATTCTTATCAAAAATATGGCATAAGACAGAGGATGGTTATGACAGCGATAAGAAATGACTGAGGCCAGGAGTAGATCAAAGCCTTTCTTCTCACCACCACCTAAGGCTTTGATGTTCTGTCTTTACGTATAAGAGTACTTGCAAAATAACATGTAAACATAAGTCATCTTTCGTTAAAAGGCACTCCAGGCATGGGCTCTCAGTGCTTGAAGCTTGGACTAAACTAGTTTAGGAGGAAGAAAATGAGGACTGATGAAGCAGTAATGGCAATGAGTTACTCCTCGGATCCTATGGCTTCTTTATTTGGGACAGCAGATCTCAACTCGGGCCATTTTTCCTCCCAGGTTATAGTTGGCCATGCCTGGAGATGTGTGGTTGTCACAACAGGGGAAGCAATGCTGCTAGGCATTGTGCCACATTCAAGGCAGTCCTCCGTACACAAAAAAGAATGACCCAGTGCAAAATACCAGCACAGTAGTGCCATGCTTGAGATATCGTGTTTTAGGACATGGCAATACATCTCACTGAGACAATAGTTATTCTGTAAAAACAATGAGAAATACTAAATTATTTCTACTTGAATTGAATACTACTACACTAAGGAGACCAGCTATTTGAAGGGGCTTGCTTAGATTCTAAATTAGTTCCCCCTGGGGCTATATGGGAAAATGGAGCTAAGAGAAATCCGCTTCCTCTTTGGAACTGGGATTATTAAACCTTTGTGATCTCCTCTCTTCACAGCACTCTCCCCTCCCTGCTAACGCTGCTCTGAGGGCAGAATTTGCCATTCTAATGAGAAGTCAGCACACAAACTAAAAAATGATAACAGTGCAAAATGCATCTCTCTTGAGCAAAGTTAATTTAGGTGTATAAGATCTCAATTGAAATACTGTCATTTTTTCCCCAGATCCTAACTTAGAAAATGTGTGGCTGCCATGGTGTCCCTAGGAGAGAGTTGCTAGGGAAACCAAAAGCCATCCCTACTGCCAAGGCACTCTACCCCCATGGATTACCATGATGGCCCATCAGTCATTTTGAGAGTTAGAGACACCACAGCGAACAAAATGATGACTTTATCTGTTTATCCCAGGAGAACAGTTTCAAGAAATAGATTTACTCAATGCCATCAGCAGATTATCGAATGACCCCTCCTGATAATGAGACAGAAAATAGATTCACTCACTGAAATGCTACCTTGGAATACATTTCCAGAACCTTAATGGCTGGGATTATAAAAATGCAAAGTATAGTTCCAATATATTGAAAGAATACACCCACAATAACTATAGCTAAGGCCAATTATGTACTGCATATTAGTGGTTATTGTCTGGAGCACAATGCATTAACTTAAATGTAGCCCTTGTGTCTTTGTTACAAAAGCTGACAAAAAAAGAAAGAAAGAAAGAAAGAAAACCTCATGAAGCTCTCCCACAGAGTGCTGGGCATAAGATGGATTTTTTAAGTGAATTTTTACCAGTGTCATTATATTTGGAATATTACGGCAGACAATGGCTGAGGAGAGGTTTCAGTCAATGTGCCCAGGAATATAATGCTGTAGAAGGAGCAGCTGTTGGAAACTGGAGTGGTTCATGTGACAGAGATTATCAGTTGTCACTTACTACCTGCTGGGCTGACTTGTCAGTGAGTTCATGGCCTCACCTGAGCTCCATGGCCCTAAACACAAAAGTGTACGAGGTTCCAGCAGAAAAAGACTTCTGTAGCTACTGTGGGGAGTGGTGCCTTGAGAGACTGAGTCCTTTGCCTACATGCCCACAAGCCAGAGCTACCACCTTGGGCCTTGTGTGCTCCACCCTTGCAGTTCCAGTGGTCCCTTGGCCCCCACCCATGCCTAATGAAACTCTGCTTACTTGTGCCTTGTAATTTGCTTCTATGGCCAACCAATGCAGACACCATGTACTGCAGTCCTGACCCTGACTCCTTCTATCTGCAGGTTCCTGGATTGGAGTGTAGGCTGGTCCTGTTTGCCCGGTGAGTGTGTACCAGCTCTGTGCCCCAGCAGACCAGCTGCTCCTCTGCCATGCAGTTGCACTTTCCTCAATGATGAAAACCCCTTCCCAAGTTTGCTCTTCTCAGGGTATCCTCTCTCAGCTCCAGGCTGCCCCTTGGAGTTTTCTTTCAATCATTATCATTAGCCTCCATGCATAACCCAGTGCATACTGATAAGGTGCTTCCCCTGGTTAAATTACTTCCTGCTCTCTGTCCTGGTGTCTCTCTTAGGGTTGACCAGATTTGGCTCCTCCAGTCCCCCCGCTTCCCCAGCCTAGTGAGTCAACGTTTCTCCAGATGCCTAGCCTCCCACTTTACAGGAAATATTGAAAGACACCAAGACAGCACTGGCCGGGCACAAAGTCTTCTGGGGTTTCAAAGTCACAAGCACTTAGGACTAAAGCAAATGGAAATCGAGGATCAGGAGTAGATGACTGTGTGATTTGTCTGAATTAAAATATTTCTGAGAGGGAAACAGAATACTATTAGTAATTACACTGGTACCATTCATGTAAACTGGAAATGCACTGGGCACACCTGCACATAGGGCCTCTATTGTGACTAGAAAGTCACCCCCAGGTTCCATGCACAAATCAAATGGGTCACTCAACTGTAGAAATTAGTGAAAGAGCTAAGGTATGGATAAGGATACAGGAACCCAAAAGGAATGTTGATCACCAAGGGACTGGCACGGGTGGAGGGAATCCCCAACACTTCAGTATGGGCTGGAACAGAGGAGAAGGGGCTACTCACAGAGCTGGGACATAGTTGCTTTTCCCTTGTTGCTCATATAAAATATCTGATGCCCAAAATTAAGGAAAGAAAGGTTTATTTAGCTCACAGTTTATGGAGGTTTCAGTTCATAATTAGCTGTTTCCAAGGCAGGGTTGCGTGGCTGAGGCGGCAGCAGTTCAAGGCTGCAGAAGACAAGAAAAGCAACAAGAGCAAAAAGGGAGGAGCAGCAGAGAGCAAGCCTCTTTCTCTCCCTTATATGTGTGTATGTAGGCTCCCCACCACAGGCAGGTGTAGCACTCACCCCATAATCCCAGCATTAGACCACGAATCAATCACAAACTCTAGAAACCTGGCCCATGACTGCATGAGGCTTTGAGGGGACATCTAGACACAAACCATAACACCTACCTTCCTCCAAGTGTCTGGAACTCGCCATTGAGGGTTACTTGAAGGTGGATGTGCAGTTTGTTTCTGTGGCTGTTGTTGTTGTTATTATTGTTGTTTTGAAATAGGGTCTTGCTATGTAGTTCAAGCTGGCCTTAAACTCACAATAGAGCTCAGACTGGTCAGAAACTGAAAACAATCTTCTACCTCAGCCTCCTGAGTGCTGGGATTACAGCTGTGCATTACCATGTCCAGCCTGATATTATTATTTTAAATGTCATTTGGGATGGATATATGGGCAGAACAGAACTGCTATGGTAAATAAAAACTGGGACTAACCAACATATAATATGTCATCTTGATTGTAGAAGAAGCATCTAGAGAGCTGTCTGGGTCTCAAGAACACCTGCAGACAGCCTGGATGAGACAGACAAGGGCTGGGGTCAACTCAAGTGCACTTGACCTCCCTTTTGGTAGCTACTATAACACTTTTTTCTCTCTGACCATGGTGGGCTCTACTCTAAGGCACCACTGGGCTTTCTAGGAAACAATGGTGCCACTCCTACAGTCCCATGCACATCTGTAAGATCAGATTCCACTTTCTTCCCCTGGCCCCATATGCCAGACCTCTTATACCATACCTCATAGAATGAAGAAGATATTGGCTTTGAAATTAGACAGTGCTAGACTCCAATCCCAGCTCTGCCGTTTAAGAGTGGTTTAATCTTGTGAAACTTATTTAACTTTTGGGTCAAATTTTCCTTCTCCATAAAATAATGGTATAACCCTACTTGATGAGATTTATTATAAAGACTAAGTGAGGGGCTGGACCTTAGCCATGCAGGTGCCCGGGAGGCCAGTCACCTGGGCTGGGGAAGCCACACAGCAGGAAGTGTCAGCCTTTGGGCTGGACCCTAGCTGTGCAGGCACCAGGGAGGCAGGCAACTGGGGCCTGGGAAGTTATGTGGCGGCACGTGCTAGTGGGCAGCGGCCCTCAAGACAGCCACCACCATGCGGTCGAGAACTATCATGGCACAGAGAATCAATGACACAACTGGCCTGCCATGTGCTGGCCGCACATAGCAAGACCCACCTCCTGGGGGGGTGAATGAATCATGCCGACATGGAGAAACTCCTGGGAATACATGCCATGCAACGGGTTGCTGTTGCCTCTGCTGTTGAGAACCAGAAATGTCCAGAGTCAGTGGAGGAGCAGCTATTGAACAAGGACTCAGAGAACACGAGAATACAGCCTACGCCTGAAGACTCAGAGGTCTAGTTGACTGAGGTCACGAGAGCCATTCGGAAGCTGGAAACCAGGAGGACCTTGTGCAATACCTGGGGAGACCCCCTGGAAGCCATTCTTCCTCTGACAGTACAGGCTGCAGTGGAGGAGCACGTGGAGCTCCGGACAGGTCTGCACTGAGATTCCTGCTGCCTGTGCTGACGGTTGGGGAGGGGACTCTAAGTCGTTGCGGGGTCCCAATGCGCTGGGAAACTGGAGAGAAAAAGCTACAAAAAATGGTTTTCACCCCAGATGGCTCACTTGAGATGTCAGTAAGAATTGCCTCCTCAGTATTCTATAGCTGTGACGAGGAGGAGGCCAAGGAGAGAAAACAAAGAGACCAAGAAAAAGCAGCTACTTTTGCTGTAGCACTAAGATAAACAGACCCTAAATTTGATTCTCTGGGCCCCAAGAACTTGATGACTACATTCATCTACTATAACTGTTAAAAGCCTGGCCACCTCAAGAGAAACTGCCCTAAGAAGCCCAATGGGCAATGCCCTGAACACAAAGGTGACCACTGGAGATTGGTCTTCCCTCTGAAGAGGAGGCCCCAGAGCTCAGACCCACCCTATCAGTTAGTCTAACAGGAATGAAGGGGCCTAGGGCATACTCTACCTTCTCCCTCTGGCCAGACTGTCATCTCCATGGAGGAGGCCCTGGTAATCATGACTATGGAGGAACAAGAAAACAGCCTATTGCTAGACACAGGTGCAACCCTCTCAGTCCTCCTTTGCAGTCCTGGCCTTCCATCCAGCCGTCACACCTCAGAGAAATGAGTCACTGGTGAGGTGAGTATTTTTCACAACCCTAAGGATGTAACTACTTATTAGATCTTTCTTGTGTATCTCTGCCTTCCTGAGAAACCACTTTGAAGATAACACCATGTATTACACCAGCCATTGATATTTTCTTACTAATCTGTCCATAGCTCAGTAACGTTTGTATTGTTCCTATGCTATTTTGTAAATGGATGTATGTTTATTACTATGTGTTTCCTACAACAACCACTGAGAATAGTCAATGAATATTCAATTGGTTACTCATGTATAGCTCTATTTATTTTCTTTAGAAACCACTTTGAAGATACCAAAGTATAGTACAACAACCATTGATAATAACCTACCACTTTTGTCTGTAACTCACTATTGTTTGTCTATTTGTTTTCCTGAGAAACTATCTTGTAGATAACAATATGTAAAAAAAACCATTGATAATTTCCTACCACTTTGTCTATAATTCAGTAAGCTCCCCTATTACTATATTATCCTTCTTTTACTCTTTAAAATTATATATATAATTATATATATATATATATATTATATATATATTATATATATATAAGAGAAGAATATATATATATAGTTGGCAGGAAAAAAAAAGATTAAGTGAAACACCAAGATAGCAGCCAGCACAAAGTCTGACATAGCCTATGTGCTCAATAACTTGCAATGATAGTTATTAGCCATTAAAAGATAAAGATGCCACAATATTTAGAAATCCATTCCTACATTCCCAATAGCTAGCACCAGGCAAACAGACCATTAGAGAACAACTAATAATGCCCGCTGGCTGTAGTCATGTCATAACCTCTCATGGCTCAGTGACTAACATTTAGAAAATGGGACTTTCACAGTCAGAGCAAGTTGAAAAATAAGTAAAACCCCAGAGAGCATTTAGCCACAAACCAACTTAGAGGAACATGGATTTCTCAGCTCAGCCTACCAGGTGGATGGTTTTTACATGCTGCTTGAGCAAAAGCAATGTGATTCCAGAGGTTGTCACAAATTCACAAGCGTTATATGCGTGTCAAAAACTTGGGAGTGATTACCTTCAAGATGCTGACATTTTTGTATATATCAACAAAGCCTGGAGCAACCGGGGGTCAGAGAAATACTTTGAGAGCCTTCAAAGGATCAGTGAGGGAGCTGTCAGCAGGCCTAACCTTCCAGGTGGCAATGGAAGCATAGGTTATCCAGGTCACCTTTATGACAGCAACAGTGCAGACACTGGAAATGCACACAAGTGATTTGTTTAACTCCCCTTGCAGTACCTGATAGTTCAACACACCCAACCTAATGTGTCCTACCAGATGTGTCAAGCTCTAGCTTTTTTCTGGGATCTTCCCCTCACAGCAGGCTTCCTTTTCAGGATCAGCTGTGGCTACTTTTTCCTGAGTGTCCCCAAAGACGACAAGCACCATAACAGATTTTTCATGCCTAATCTCCTTTTCTTCTAACAAACATTCATCCAAGCAACCAGTGTTAACTGACTCCCTATGAAGCATTCCTACCTGGGTACCATTTTGTGAGTGAGCCATTTGAGTTTCAAAGAAGGAATCAAGTCCTTCAAGAGGTGAGTAGGAGAGTCAAGATGTGAATGGACCTGGTTCCCACACTGATCCTGTCCAGCTGCACTTTGCTGAGGTTGTGAACTCCAGGCAAGCAAAGATAGGTAGGGCTAAGTCTGGAGAGCAGGAACTGGTCCTGTCCTGCAGCAAGCAAGCTTATTTGCTTATCTCTGTGGCAAACTGCTGAACACTTTTGACCTGTCTTTTATTGTTTCTGAGACAATCAAATGACATAACATAGCAACATGGATCTGACAAACATTATGTTGAGCGAAGGAAGCCAGAAGCAGCAGAGTACATACCTGGTTATTCAGCTACAAAGAGTTATGTGCAGGCCAGGAGAATAAGAAGAAATGATGCTGGTTTCCTTCAGGAGGGAGAAGGAGGTAATGATTAGTTCCAGAAATATCTTATTTTCAAGAAAGCAATAATTTCTTTAAAAATCATAATGTGAAATGAATTTGAAAATAGTCTACAAGTGTTCCCAAAACAATCAAACATCTCTAATAAATTTTAATTTGATAAACAAGTGAGTAGTAGGTGAGTCATATGAGTAGTATGTGACACCAAACATCACATGATCACAACTGAGACAGTGGTGTCTCTGTCTCTGTCTCTTTCTCTCTGTCACTGTAGAATTGTGGGTGATCCTTTCACAACAACAAGAGGTTATGGAGGGGACTGCCACAGAGGAAGAGATAAGAAATATGGAGCAATCCCTCACCTCAAATGAGATGAGGGCGATGTGTAAAACGTAGGAAACTGCAAAATTTTGTAGAAATGCACTGAAATAAAGCTGTAGCAGTGCAAATGATGAATCTGTTTCACAACAATGCAGTGTCGCATTTCTGTGAAATCCTCAAAAGGAGGCAAAAGAAAGAGTCTTTGGATAGGTTGCTTATTAAAGCTGCAGGAAAACAAAAAGACCCCATTGAGCCAATAGACAGCAGTGATTCCAAAAGTCCTCTTGTGCAGTAACCCTCCTCTCTCTTGTCTCCCTCACATCAGCCACAAAGGTTTTCTAAGATTAATGCAGATTAATTTGTTTATTTTTCTTTGTATTTTGTGTTTTCTTTATTATTTTCTATTATATTAAAGTACTGTAAACATTTCAGATGAATATTTTTGGGTTGTGGAATGACTCCTCTGAGTTTCCATTATTTCTTATGGGGACATTTGCCTTGATGTACAAGTGCCTCGGATTACAAGCATGTTTCTGGAATAAATTATGAAAACCAAGGTTTTAATGTATACTAATTCAAATCCTGTATATGGCATTGTTCTGAGCATGGTTTCGGTCCCCTGCTGTCTGCCTTCCTGTGTACTGCCAGGGAGTGTCTACCCACTATAGTAGCCTTCTAGGTGCCTGGAGTGCACTGAGTTATTCCCCAGTGCAGGGCTCTGGGCCTGGAGAAGAGATGGGGGCTGAGGCTGGTGATGAAGCAAGCTTCTAAGGAACCCCAGGCGACTCCCAGGCAGCTTTGAGTTCTCTCTAAGAACATTCCTGATGAGGTCACTCATCCTCTGCTCAGATGATGCCAGTGACATGCTGCTCATTGCTTTGTGAAACCAGCTATGCTGAAGAGCACTCAGTTACAACCTACCCTCTTGGTCATTTACAACCTACCCTCTTGCAGCTCCTGCCCACTAGCCAGAATGATCTTGAAGGAGCCTACACTACTGTCTTCCTTGCTCTCTTCAAATGAGTAACTTTTCATTTAAATGCATTTTTCTTTGCTTCTGTTATTTTAACATATGTTTTATATAAAAATAGTGGACTGATCTTCCAATTATCTTTCTGAGAGAGGCACAATACATAATGCAATAAATTATCTCTAATGTATGTCAATTTCTATTTATCAAATTTTTGGACATATAATAGGTAATTTTATTTTCATCTTAGGTTTGGTGTAATAATAAAGTAATTACAATTATGTTTAAACCTAATATCTTATAATACAATATTTATATAAAGTTAAAATTCTGTGTTTTTCTCTATTCTTGTGACCTCCAATCCTATTCTCTAGAAGCAACTGTTTTTCATGAATAATTCAATCTTACTGCTTGTGAACTGAATTTTTTCTTATGCTTTTGAAAATAAAGCCACACAAATGCACAGATTTAATTTAGTCTTTAACAACAATGAAACAGGTACTGCATCAAGGGAGGCAAAGGGAAGCAAACTAAAAACAAGATGGTGGAGACTGGTGGGGGCAAGGGCCAGGGAAGCAGCTTCCTCAGAAAGGAAGAGCGCATTCTCACTCCTTGGGATTCTTGCCCATGGGCATAGGATAGAGGCCCAGGGTTAGAACAACTTCTAATTTTCCTGGGAAAGTTAGAAATCCAGATTTATATATGTAAACTTCTGGCTTATAAGTTTGGTAATTAAATTACATTTCTTACGATATTGGTCAAAATAAATGCTTCTTTAGGCCTCATCCAGCCAGTGGACTGCTAGATTGGAATCTGTTACAAATACAGTTATCCTCTTGCTTATTGTCATGTAAACTATGTGATAAATATGTTTCCAGATCAGGACATATGTTTCCTCTAGTTCTTTTTATGATTATAAATGCGCCATTGCATAGCTGTGCCTGTCACTAATTCCCTATAAAAGGTTAAGAACTCTGCAAGTGTTTAAATACAATAATCGACTTTCTAATCCTTATTTCTGACCTAGTACCTGTTTGTCTAACCATTCTATTTTTCTTTCTACTTTTTAAAGCTGTTTCTCATACCAACTTCCTTACTACACTTCTCCAAAAGCACCTTCAAGTGAGTATTTCCTAAGCTCATCCCTTTATTTATCTTTTATACAAGTATAGTTTCAACCAAAATTCATTTGCAATTGGTTTGTAAGAAATGGGACCATATATTGGAGGATTTGAGTTCATAACCATTGATGCTGCACTAGTGTTGTCTCCCAGTGATCATACTTGAAAAATAGATTACATGGCTACTGTAGCCATAATCTTACCAACCACATGGAGCCACAATTCATACTTTATCATAATCTCCTACAACAGTCATTTTTATAAAAACTTTACATCTTTGACCACATTCCATATAAAAGTATTATACTCTAATTTTATATTTAACTCTAAAGCCAAAGCATCTTATATTATTGAAAATATTTTACAGATATTTGAATGATTGCTTTATTTTTTATTCTCATTTGTTTCCTATTACCCCGATTTTTGGAAACTTAGTTTGTTTCCAAATATTAATATAAACAACATTACAGTAAATGTCTTTAAGTAGAAAGCTCTTCACTTCAGATCATTTCAATTATTTATTTATTTATTTATTTTTTGGTTTTTCTCCGGTACCAGGAACTGAACTCACAACCTTGCGCTTGCCAGGCAGGCACTTTGCTGCTGAGCTAAATCCCCAGCCCCTGATCATTTCAATTAATAAGACCCCAGAAATAGAGTTTTTGAAGAAAGATTAGAGGGATTTTTAAAGACCCCTGAATTATTTGACAAGTTCCTTTTCTAAAGCCTAGAGACACTTTACATTCTCCTAGCTGCGCTGAAATTGCTTGAGTCCCTGCACTCAATCTATAATATTGAATATTTTCTTTTCTTACAGTTCTATTAATCTGATAGGTTAAAAATAGCATCTCATTGTTGCTCTAATTTCCATTTCATTGATAATGAGTGAAGTTGAAAAATGTTCAAATGTTTATTAGCCATGGATATGCCTCAGGTTTAAATTGTCTTTGTTCCTTTCCCCTTTATTTACGGGAAACTTAATGCTTTTATTAGCTTTTGCCATGAATTTTTTATGCTAAAGATATCACCCTTTGTCCTATTTGAAGCAAGTATTTCCCTTTGTTTATTTCCCTGTTAAACAATTGTGAGAGAAATTGTAATTTGGATGTGAAAAATCTATTGATCTTTCTGTTTGTAATTTCTTTCACTCCCTTTCAGCATAGAAAAAAAAAAAAACTTTTATCCCACTCCTATGTTTACATTTGATCACTATGCATTTCCATTTTCTCTTTGTTTGTTTTATGATTTTTTTTAAGCAAGTGCAGTGCTTTTTGGTAAGGCTGTACAATATAAAACTGAGCTTTAACAAGAAGTTATCATTTACATTGTGTTGTTTTCTTCTTGGAATTTCTATTGCTGCTATTGATTGTCCATTTTAATAAGGTATTTCTGTTCCAAGGCAACCATGCAAAAGCACAACTGAAAACATAAATAAAGAAGAGTAAATGCTTTTTCTCTCACTTCATTATTCAACTGAGAAATGTTAATTGTTTCTCAGACATGAGACACACCCTATTTTTAACCAAATAAATTTAGTAAAAAATACACATTTCTTTTATCTGAGGTAGTGGTAGAAATGAAGTGTTGAATTATTAAAATATGTTGTTTTCCTAGTAACTGTGCACAGTATCTGGCATCTACAAGACAAATTCTAATCCAGAGGATTTCTTTGAGTTGTTAACCAAAAATTCAATGACAAGGACTAGCATAATTTTACAACGCAAAAGAAAGTGCCAAGCAAACTCCCCAGACAATAGATTATTTATCACAGTTTGTCAAAGTGGAGCAAGCACATAATTTTTTGATCCAGCTGACACATTCAATTATCTTCTAAAAGTTTCTATCACAGGACTTCTTTAGCCATTTATTGGGTGCAAAAATGTAATCCATAATTATAGACATTTCTTGTGCCTTCTATCAATTGCTCAACAATCTTTCCCTGAGGCTTTTCGTCTTCCAGACACACTGAAAAAAGAAAATAAATGCATAGCAATCAAGATTTGCAAAATGGCCATGAGGGGCAGTCAAGGAACTGACAGCTGAGAACAAGGAAAAAATATGTGCAGCACAGCACACAGTTCCGGTGTGCAGAAGAAATAATTTGCTGCCTATCGTAGACTCACAGATGTCTCGGGCTGAAAGGGACTTTGTGAGTATTCATTCAGTGTTCTCCTTGCTTTTAGTTATAACCAATAAAACTTTCCAAATCTATGTGCATATCTTTAAAAATGTGATATGGCAGAAAAATAAGAAGCTAGGTTTGAGGATAATGCTGAATCTTTAATAGCATTCCTTTGGACCCTAATGCATTTAACCCAAATAATTCTGAGTTTTTTTCTGAATATATAAGGTTATTAATACTGGCTGGGTTTCTTTGATGTTATAGGATCCTATGTATGATTAACAGTAAGTGTCAATGATTTCTCTTCTTCTTTTACCCCTCCCCAAGAGATTTGGAAAGAAAAAAGCTGTCAACTAATCTTGAGATATTCACCAATATTTACTAGTCCTATAAGGGAAGAAATTCCCCTGCATGCTCAATTCATATTTTTCATATAGAACCTTTAGTTCATTTCTTCTCTTTTACTTGCCAATGGGGTTGTGGAGTAGAAATAATCAAATTTGGTAAGCTAATCTTTCATACAATGTTTTCTTGTAGGCTTGGTGACAACCATCTGTGAATAGTTCAAGGACTTTCTCCTCCTTCCCTTGAAACTTTAAATCAATGAGAGACAGCAAAAATATTGTATTGCCAAATAACATGCGACAGATACTTTCTTTTCCCTTTATGTCTCATATGGAGCTTCCCTACTGCTACCCCGTGTGCTCACTTTTATAGTTCAAGAAAGGAATACCCAAGACATGACATCTGATTCTATGCTGCTTTGCTTTCCTCAGTTGTCTACTCCATCCCAAAAGAGACATAAAAATCATTTGGTGGGTCAGTGCCAATGCTGATGTCCATGAGCTATTCTGTAACAGTGCTGAAGTTGGCATCTGACTGCAGCCTCTCTTCAAATGAATGGCAACTGACTGTATTAAATACTTTCCTGTTTTACTTAAAATGCATGAGACTAACTGGCATAACAAAAGACTTTCCATTTATGGAAGACATTTAGTAAAATAAGAGGAATTTGAAGAGAGTATCTTTCTATATTCAGATTAGGTGAATTGAGGTTCAGAGATGTCTAAGAAGGGAATGAAACAATAACTGAGTTAGTTAGTGTACAACCAGAAATGAATTATAAATAGTTACTCTTTAGTTTCTTATTTTTTGATTACCAAGCTGATAAAAAGGATTTACACAACTCAGGTCATTTTATCTGAAGTCAACCTTTAAATCAACTCTCAAAGTTATTGTACAGTTATATCTACAGTTGGCAACTGTAGTAATCAGCTTGCTCACGACTAAGATGCAAACCTAACACCCACAACTTAGAAGAGGAGCAATATCTTTTGGCTCATAGTTTCTGGGGATTCAGTCTATGGTCAATTGGCTCCAAAATAAAAACCACATGGCAGAAGGGTGTGGCCGAGCAAAGGTGCTTCGAATGACAGCCAGGAAGCAGAGCAGGAGAACAGCACCAGAGAGGAAGAGGCAAAGGACCAGACACAGACTCCAAAGCCATGCTTCTATGACCTACCCAGACACCCAGAAATGAGCCACCAGCCCTCTTGGTGGATTCCAAAGGCAATCAAGTAGGCACTCTACCTAACGGCCACAGAAATGAAACAAAATCTGTAGAGTCAATAATTATTTTTCTACCTACCAGTCTTCATCATGGTGATCATCAGTTTATACATATATAAAACATCATTACCAGGGGCTGGGGATTTAGCTCAGCGGCAAAGTGCTTGCCTGGTAAGCGCAACATCATGAGTTTGATTCCTGGTACCAGAAGAAAAACAAGAACAAACAAACAAACAAACATCATTACATAACGTTATTATAATGTGGTATTTAAAGTTATTGTTCCACAGATATCTGTTTTTCTCCTCCTACTGAGAATGTAATTTACCCTAACCACTGGATTCTGGAATTGTCATGTGACTTTCTTTGACCAATGGATTGACAGCAGAGGTGATGCAAGCAGCCTTAAATGTACTTATGTCTCTTGGCTTACCAGATTCTCTAGTGACAAAGCATGGCCAAGGACATTATTGCTTCTTAGTGCTTATTTTTTGGCCCAGTAATAAAAATATGGGAATTAGAACTGAACCCAACCAGTAGTCTGGAGCTAAGGCCCCTGAACCACAGTTGGAAGCAGGTTGTGCATGGAGGCCCACAGTAACAAAATTACTTGCAGACTTTTTAAAACCAAAGAATGCATGTGAATTATTGTAAACCACTGAGCACTGGGTTGGCTTGTGATGCAATATCATTGTGTCAATAGTTGTCTGCACATACAATTAAGCTTTGACTATGAACTATGGCAACAGACTCTGTGATTAGCAGTTTAATGATCTCAATTTAATCAAATAATGCCATTACACAAGTGTCATTATTAACACTATAGTGCATATGAGGACATAGAGCTACAGAAGGGTTAGAAAATTCACACAAGAAGATATAACAAGTAGCTGGAACATGAGTTGAATCGATGTCTTTCTGATTTCAATGTCTTTGTTATGTCTCAACTATGTGTTTGCACCAGAAAGTAGAGAGATGAAAGCAATGCCCAGTACTTATCAGGGAGGTTATGTCAAGGGCTTGGAAGCAAACAACTGCGACACCGCTCTTTTATTCCATTCCAAGCTGTTATCACAAATGAATTGTTAAAGTTGCATTTCACCCTTTGCCAAGAATTGGGCTGATTCAGCTCTTGGAAGTTCATTCCACGGAGCAATTGATAAAGAATTCCACTATGGAGACAGACAACACACTTTATTTCTCAGACGGCTTCTACAAAAAAAAAAAAAAAAAAAAATACCACCCAGCCTAGGAGATGAATGTTCTGCCCATGGAACAATTGAATGTTAATATTACTTTGATGTTCAGTGCCATCTCTCGTACTGTCTGGAGCCATGGAGATCATTACCATATGAAGTATTCCCAGCTTTGATGATGGCAAAAGATTAATAAAATATGGTTATTTCATTCAAAAGGTAATTTTTAAAAAGCTAGATCCTTTAGAGCTCTGTTGTCTCTATGAGAGTTCATCTGATGGCTTCTAATTCACCTTAGTTGTATCCCTATTATAAATTCCTGAAAATCTTGGCTTCTTGCAAGGTGGAGGAGAGCTCCCTGCTCAAGATCTAGTTTTCCCCTGCTATTTCTCCAATTCCTTCTACTCGTCTCTGCTTCTCCAAGTTCTGACATCAGTGGGACTTAACCAAAGATTGAGGAAAGGGCTACCTCACCTTACCAGCCTCAGTGATGCTGATAAGTTTTGATGACTCCAAAGAGGCACCAGATGGGAGTCTTTGAGTGGTAAGCTGGATATAGCTTCTTCTGTGGGGTTTACCCTTCCCATCAGAAGGGGAAGGAAGTAGACAGTGGTTGGTAGAAATTACTGCCCAAATAAGAGGCAACATCCCAAACGGGTGTTCTCTTTAGGTGTCAAGTCTTGGGTGGGCTCATGACTAGGCTGCAGGGTCCTTCTGGGACCCAAGAAGGAGAAGGATGAGAGTTATAATCAATGTCAATAACATCATTGTGTTGTGTCCAAAGATGCGTAAGTATATTGACCACCAAGGACTTGATCCTCAATTTTCTAGTGCTACAGAAGGCTGGGTATCTTATAATCCCATGGTGAGATGGGAACCACAAAAATAACTGAGATGCCTGGTGAGTGGAGGATCCTAACCAAATGTCTGATTTATTGATTCATTAATCAACTTGACAAATATTTATTAAGGGTCTACGTGTGAAAACATTATGCTTTCTCCAGGGACACAGCTGATGCACAGAAGAAACAAAGTACCTTATGGATTTTATAATCTAAAGACTGAAGAAGAAGAGACAAATAAATAAAAAACACAGTATATGCTTGTGCAGTGAAAAAAGGTAATGCAGAGTAAACGACAATTGGCATAATTTGATGTGTAGCCAGATATTGGTCTCTCCTTGGAATCAACAACTGAATAGCACTCACAACAAAGTGAGGACATAAACCACATGAAAAACTCAGAAAAGCAATCTGGCAAATGCTACATCCTAAAATTGTGAGCATTTGTATGATTGGAGAAATACACTAAAATCAGTGTGGATGTAGAACAGTAAGAGAAACAGTGGTAGGAGATAACTATGAAAGGTTGATAGGAGTCAGATCAGAAAGCCTTGTAAGATGTGATGGGAATTTGTATTTTATTCCTGGCAAGACCAGGTGCCTCAAAAAATTTGAGCACCTATCTGAATTCATTTTTTAAAAAGTTCTGTGGATACTGTGTCAAGAGACTATGACATTATAAGAGTAGATTAAAATTATGTAAAAATGTCAAGAAAGGATGTGGTTATTTGAGAAGCCTGACAGCATTGTGGAAAATGAGGAGTAGCTAGATTATTGAACATATTCTGAAGTTAAAACCAACAGAATTTGAGAGGAGACTGGATTTGAAATATGAGAGGAAATGATTCAAAGATAATTCCACAAATTTTAACTTGAGCAACTGCGTACATGGTGTAGCCATTTACTCTATGGGAAATACTGCAAGAGAGTAGGGTTAGTGTGGATAGAGGGAGAAATCAGTGGTACACTTCTTTGCCTGTTAGACATCCAAATGGAAATGTTATATAGGGGGTTGAATATACACATCTGAAGTTCAGGGTAAAGGTGCTAGCTAGCTAGAAATTTAGAAGTCAACCAAGTACCCATTGAGCAAATAAATTCAACATTTAAAGGCTGAAAATGAGAAAAGAAGTTAACAAAGTAGACTGAAAGGGAAATGGCAAAGTCACAGGGAAATCGTGATGTCTCACAGGCTGAGAAATGTGTTTGAAGAGGCTGGGAATTGTTAGCTAGATGAGATGTTGCTTTCAATCAAGTTGCTTAATTATTGCTGGTTACTCAAGTAAGAGAAGCACTGAACATTAACTGTGGGATCTAGCAATGAGGACGTCATTGATGACCACAAGGAAAGCTGCTTCTCTAAATGGTGAGAGCAAAACAATGACTAGAATTGACCCAAGAGCATGTGCAAACTCTGAAGAATTCTGCAGGAAAAGTACAGAGCAGAGTGGATACTAGAGGAATCAGGACAAGTTTGTGTTGTCTATTTTAAATATAGGAAATAAAACAGCAGTATTTTACATTATTGAAAATGCTCTAGAAGAAAGGACAAACCTCGATGATAAAAGAGAGAAGCATGATAGACCAATAGCTATGAATGTTCTGAGGGGATGGGAATCCAATGACAGATGGAAGAGTTGGCTCACAGCTGCAGCGTGGATATAATACATAGCAAACGGCAGGAAGCAGAGTGTATCATTACAGTGGATAAGTTAGGAGGTTGGGACAGGAGACTGAAGAAATTGTCTTCTTATAGGTTCTGTTTTGTTTGGTTTGGTTTTCTTCAGCAAAATGAGAGTAAGTCATAAGTTGAAGCTGAAGAAGAGATACTGAGAAGAGGTAAAAGAGGTAAGTGGACACCCGGAAGGATATGAAAATGTAACAAACATTATGTATGGGCCTCTTGGCAGTGACGGGAGTGCAGGAAGGCTGTGGACCAGAGCATGGCCAGTCAGTCCAGGTGTGTTTCTCAAACCAAATTCAGCCCACTCCTAGCAGGCAGGGAGTCGAGTGGGTTGGATTTGCAAGGATTTTACCAGGCAAATGTGACAGAGGGAGAGGGACACGGGAGCTGAGTTAATAACCCACTTGATGGGTTTATGATGTGGAATAATTAATCTAACTATTTCTAAGCATTTTGTAAATCCTGCTCCCAAGAATAATGTTTTGTTCTTCAGAATAGATTAAGTTCCACTTTCTTAGAAGTAGAAGCAGAAGTAGCCTCTGACAAGTTTCATTATTGCTATCAAAGATATGCACGATCTTTACATTTCATGATGTCACTAACATTGCAGATGAAACTAACAGCTCGCCATTGCAGATGAAATGGTTTAAACCTCATGCTAAACTGTTAACAAATCAATTATCTTAGGGTGAGTATGTCCTACAGAAATAAACATTGCAGATATACTAATAAATAGTAGAAACCCAGAGTAACTGAATGAAGTCTATCAAATTTCATATAGCATAAAGTTTAAAAATCACACAGAATTGAACTTCCCTCTCTCAGCCTCAATGCTACAGACAGCTGTTTCTTACTACCAAGGGTATTTAGCTGGAATAAATTATGTTTGACCTTCCTTCCATCGATTTTACATGGTTTTGTTTCCCTTTATTTTCTCTCTTCTTCCTTCCTTCCCTCCATATCTCTGTCCCCCTCTCTTTTCTTTTTCTCCATCTTTTGTTTCTTTCTTAATTGTGAGACTCGATATTAAAAAAGAAAGAGGAATGCCCAACTTGTAGACGGTAGCTGTCCATGTGTGCTGAATGTATCGCTTCCCTTTTCTCTCCAGAGCTTCATCTGATTCTATCACTTTAGAACTTGGAGAGTTACCATGGTAACAGTTTTCTGACCGTTTCCTTTGAAAAAAATCCTTCCAGCTCTAAGAGCAATCACCTGAAAAGTAGTCATCCAGCTGCTTTATTCCACTCTGTCTCAGTCTTCACCCATTATCTGTCATCAGAGATAGGTCAAGAGTCTTGCCTGTGACCTATGAAGTGGAAAAGTGCTCAAGGCTGGTTCAGGGCTGAGTTGGAGCCTTCCTCCTCACTTCCACCCTCTCCTCCTCATCCTCTGCTTGCAATGTGTGAATTGAGACTGAGGGAGAGGGCACAGGAAAGTCTCTTTTCGAAAACAAATGAAACTGCTTCCCAACTTTAA